AAAATCTCTTCGGTTACATCTAGAAAGGAGTGAGAACTATATCTTTACAACGGGTGATGGTTGGAACATACCAGGCACCTTGTGAAGAAATTCGCACACATCATTGGTCAAAAGTCGAACACCATCGATATCAGGTAGGATATGAACTCGATTCTCGTAAAAATACCTTAAATAGTGAGAAGTCAGCATAATCAGATCCTCTCTGGGAAGAGCGATACTTTTTAAAACACATACTTAGTTGCGGCACCGTTTGGACCAATCATGTGGACTTCGTCTTCCCAAGAAAGAACAACAGCATCATTCCCGCACCAGACCACAGAATTAGGAGCTGTCTTTGCTTTGGAATCATATTCGCTAAATTTGCTTTGAAAATCGCTACTAACAACCCACACCTTTCCATCGCCAGTGTACAGGGCAACAAAGTTACCATTTGGCGACACACTGACGTGCTTAAATGGGCCATTTTGTAGCATACGATCCTCCGAGTCCGTGGCATCCACTACATAGATAGTTTCATTGACAGCAAGTAACACTTCCACTGAGCGGGATAGGGTGAACGCTGGTGGGATCAATGACCAGGAAAAAATTTCACCCTCTGGCGACGTAGCAAGTAGCTTAGGTCGAGGTTCATCATAGCTGGAAATCGACACGAGTTGGTTATTCGATAATAGAGCAACAAACCCGGAGGACCAAAATCGGCACTCCCGTACTCCATATTCTTCGGCAACCTAGGTAGCCCCGTATTAGCCTAAATATAATATTTAAGATAAACCTGGGTTACATACCGATCCGAGTGAAAAAGGAACAAAATCTCCATTAAGACCATAATAGCAGCGCACTGTTCCATCTTCAGTCACAACCAATAACTTTTCATCCTCAGACCAACCAAGGCCACGAATAGATCCATGGTCCCACTAAAGCCATCATCATAAGAATTTCCCTTGAAACAGCTACGTTGAGAGGACTATACCTTTATTTGCCTAATTTGCTGCCCCGAGCATGAATAAATATCAATGGTGATTTTCGCAGTTTGGGAATCTTTGTATCTTTGCAACTTTTTTTCATCCCGATAGAGTGCTGTGAACTGGGTCAGACACTGGCGTTTAATAGATCCAGTAGCGGGTAGAAGATAATTACCTATTGCCCCGCCGAATGGGGCACCAGCAACAATATAGTTCTCCAACTCCAAATCCTCGTCAAAGACGGCATCATATATCCGCGATTTTCTATAAAATTGGTCTCCGACCTTCTCCCAGTCAGCAAGGGGGTTAGGAGCCATGGTTCGTCTTCATCATAGTTCCGCGAACTCCAGTTGAGATTGGATGAATGCCAGAAAACACAGGCAATTAGCTGGCTGGTTTATAATAATGAGGTCTAGCTATAGAACCAGAGTCCAGCTAGTTATATCTAACTATTCTTCAATGTTCGATGGCTGGTGGAGGTTGTGGCTCAAAAGGTACTTAGTGCTGCTCTTCTTATAACTAGTGCCAACCGCCACGTGATCTCCTTTCCAACATCATAACTATGAAAATGCAGGAGCTTCCTTTGAAGCAACAACAACATCCACTGTGAGCTGCTTGTTAAATATTTTTTGTATTTTCCCTTTGGATATGATGGAGCAGTATAAGGACATATTTCAAAAACTGGAGGACTTGACAGATCTTGAAGTTGCCGTTTTCCTTTGTTTAGTCGGGAATGAGCATTGCCTGGTGGACACCGAGCTGCATGCTCAAAATGACGTTGCGAACGAATTGGCCCTGGTAACAATTCCGCTGCCAATATTATTGCCATCAAGCTTATATGTCCTATTAGATTTGCGAGGATACATTTGGATTGTCTTATGCTGTCATAGATTGCTCGACAGATATGTCATTGGATAAATTTAACAATGCAATTCTTGACTCTGATACAGAACAGCCGTACTCTCCGTTATCACCAAACGAAGGGTATACGGTAAGAAACTCGCCCTTCAAAAACGAAATTCTGGCTACATCTCAGTTCCATGATAGTAGAAATATTGTCTGCTAAGATTGTTTAATTCATTCATCACCACTGGTAATAATAATTGCTCTCTGCTAACACGGTTATAGAATGCCGATATATTGCCATTCATTGTCGATGAAACTTCAAGCGCAAGGAATAAAACATCTCGAACCTGCAGTCGTTTCGATAACCGCAAGGTGGTCAATGTGATTATTGCTAAGAATTTTGATCACGTCTCACAAAATGTGCAAATCCAAGCTCTAGAGGTATATCGTATCTACTTTCACTGACGAGACTTCACTGACAATTCTGCTCTATAGCTAATATGCTCCAAACGCGTGTATACCAGAACAGCTTTGCACATTGCACCCAATTTTTTTATTTTCATCCCGCTTCTCGTGTCTGATGGACGAGCTCTTGTGACTCGTCTCAATAAGCACTTGGTATTCTAGCACATTACCACAACTTTGTGATAAAAATGCTTATTTTTCCCCTCCTTTAGAACCAGCATATATTCATGTCCCATTATCATGATCCCACAACGGGCTTCGCCAACCTTGAGGCAAAGGGAGACTGGGCATCTGATGACCAGGTTTCCCTATCATCAGTGATACACAATTCCCCATCTAAGCCACACAGGCCACACAAAATCTATCCTCCGCTCTATGAACATGAAGTACGACCACTAAATATTTGCACATATATGAACAGCGCTAACAAGTTATATTTTGCAGGAAATCCAGCTCTTCAGGCAGCTGAGCCATGAAGTTACCATGTCCGCTGAAGTGAATTGTTATCTCCAAAATATGGTTGTTTTCCTCAGATTAAACAGAGCGGTTGCTGGTGGAATATCCCCCATTGCAACTCGCCAGTTCCATAAGCTGGCCAAGTACGTCAAGGCTTATCCTTATGCCGAGGACCCTTTTTTCCTACGCTTTTGGATGGTTACTTACAAATTTGATAGATGCCTTGCGTCATTACACCATGTAGATTATGTTCCGCCCTCATTAGTTGGATTAGCAGCGAGGAAAGTATATCGCCATCGAATCTCCATATCCCGACCAGAGGATGACCGTAGTGTTCTATACGGCAGCGACATCAAGGCTCTAGATGTTATTTTGTCCAATATCACTCCGGAAGACGTTATTGACGAAATGATTTCCCATGTCGAAGCTCCCCTTTAAGCAACTGACTCTTATTTAGGATACTGATCATATCTTATGCCCTGGATATCATGTCAAGGTCTTCCAGAAGTGTACTTCCCTAGTTTGTTGCCCATAATGCATAAAATGCAAGTCATTCTTCTCACCTATAATAATCTTTGCGGACCACTTATCTAACTAGTCAAGTTAGATATTTTCCTGTGACTTGTGTGTGACTTTCCATTCAATAGTTAGCTACTACCTGCAGAGCATCCTTTACCCTCTTTGTTGTCAACTTAAGACAGTTATCCATGGTTTCACTAACTTATATCTCCTTTTTAAACTAGGAAATCTGGGCCCAGAAAACCAACTAACTACCTTTGGTAGTACCTAGTAAACTACAGTGCAGTTTATTTGGGTATATGTCCTGAAATGGGGAAGGACAATGCAACTGTGTTTACACATCCTTATGCCAACACACCGAATCAACGACAAACAAAAAACACATTCACTGACGAGTCGTGGCTTTGCCGCCTGAAACTTACTTTGCAATTCCTTCTGTATATTTTAACTTGTACCACTTACATCGCAAACCAGTCTACCAACAGCCTGTTACACCTTTTTGGCCCAGCAACCCACATCTCAAGTGCAGGTGAAGGGGACTGGTTGTATGTCACATTGTCATTTTGGTTAGAAAAAATACGGTTTGTTTTCTTGCCTGTGATATGCAGCTACTAATCATCTTCTGTTAGGCAATAATGGCAATTTTTCGACGGCTGAAACCAACCAAGTTAGATGACGGCCTAAAATCGAGAATGAAGCCTCAAGAAGGGTCACCGTCAGATGCAGCCACCGACGAGGAACATGAAACTGAGAGTGTGACCGTCAGGGCATCTTCCGACGAGAGTATTAGTCGGGGTGTAACCCCGAGGAATTTGTGGGCGTATGGTGGCCCAAAATTTGATAAAAATGGTAATCCAATTTATAAGGTTCGAGAATAGCTGTTCCCCGTTTAGAAATCGTTCTAAAAGCTCGGTTCAAGCTCCAGAATAGCATGCTAATATATTATTCTTTATTTTAGTTACCGGACATCGACGTCTCCGGTGTTCATCCTCGAGGACTACGCGCATCACTGGGACCCAGGTACCGATATAAATTGAAACAATACCTTCTTCTGATGCACCTATGGACAGTTCAGCTAGGCGACGAATGCCATCGTACACAGTGGAACTTACAGGGGGCGAATGTGTTTTGGAATTCTCAAGGAATTAAGACATGGGAGGGTCGTACCTACGGGTGGCATCCAAACTGGATTCCAGATGCTATTCACAGGCTTGAAAATGAGATAGCGATCATGAAGGGCTGTCGACGTACAATGCCTATAAAAAGAAAGCCCGTGGGAGCAGTTTCCGATTTTCGAATGCTATCAACAGCAAGGAAATTTGGTCCCCGCACTTTAAAAAGATATGTATTCGGCAAAAGAGCAACTGGTTTAAAGAAACCTTTTAAGAAGACTAAACCAGCCTTTGCACAAATTAGAAATGCTGAAAATCTCGGTTCTGGATTCGATAAACCCAAGCCACAATGATCTAGTACACTTTTCTGGTCAGTTCCAGGTAAGTAACTAGCAAAGAAATGGATGGCAGTATTGGGAAAGTGGATCGGGATTTCATTACCGAGACAGACAGTACATAAAAAGTCCATCTGAAAATTAGGTTAGCGATGAAACAATGAGCGATTGGACCGAGCCATATTCTGTGTATCCTTATTGTCCTCGTTGTGTAGTTATCGCAGAACATGCTGAAAGAATTTCACAATCCAAGTGGTCAAGAAAAGGGGACAACAATTGAGTCAATGTTCATTCTTATATCAACAGGCAAGATGGCCGAGCGGTTAAGGCGTCAGGTTAAGGTTCACCTTAGCATAACAAGTTTATATCCTGATCTCCGAAAGGGGGCCTGGGTTCGAGTCCCAGTCTTGTCATAAGATTATATTTTTTTTATTTTTTCCCCTTGAGATTCTCCACCTACCTAGGTACCAAGACGTAATACTTTCCCATTTTACATCCATCCAGATATCCACACACTGACTTTCGCATTTTATCATTGAGCTGGGTTTTGCTTCAGATATTGAGTCATCGAAAGAGACTTTAAAACCATCTCATTTATAGCTGACATACTCGTTGTAGCTGGTTGGTTATGTTAGTTATTTACATCCGCTGGTAAATGTGGCTCTGAATGCAAGCCAGAAACATGTCAAATAATCGTAAAAGGCCAATCCACTCCCCACTTGAGCTTGAGTGCCAAAATAAGTGAACTCTCAATCTTCATCTCCGCAAAGATGGGGTATTCCATTCCCTCGGCGTGGCTCGGTAGTTTGGATACCCGTTTACAATGCAATGCTCGGCAGTTACTCCGTACCCTGTAAGGCCCTTCGCCGCATTGCACTCAATACGTCCATGTTTAATTTGGTTCTTTGTTATCCTGAGTCTTGACTGCTGTTCAGTTTTCTCAATCTATCCTTTACTATTACTTTTGCCAGAAGCGTCGGCCAAAAAAAAACAACAGATAATGCGCATATACAAAGCAGGGGACATTGAGGTCCCTGGGGACCTTAATTTGACAGAGCTTCTGCACTCTTCAGCACAATCGCAGCTGCCCGGATCACATTTAATAGCGAACGATTGCCTGACCGGTCGGAGTATCACTCTTGACGGGCTCAGAGATCGGGCAGGACGATTGGCGGCCGGATTGCAAGCGAATTTTAACCCCGTTGACCAGAGCAGATGGGCACTAGTGGTCCCAAACAGCGTGAATTATATCGAATTATTTCATACCATTCTTTGGGTTGGAGGGGTTGGATGCCCCATAAACTGGGCACTGAAGCCCGCCGAAATTGCCCATGCATTCATCGTGTCAAAGCCACATTTTGTATTTGTCTACGGGCCCGCGGTTAGCAAAGTTCGGGAGGCAATCACGATAGCCAGTGATACTGCCAGGAAGAACAACTTGGATTTCGATATTCCTCGCATAATTACCGTCCTCGGGGATTTGAAGGATAACCCTGATATCGAACAATTCCTTGCCCCGACAAGATTACCAATACCTCATTTCTCAAACACCCGCGAGCGATTGGCGTCTATCCACCTGTCCAGTGGTACTACGGGGAATCCTAAAGGAGTTGCTTTGAGCCATTTCAACTACATCGCAAACGTATTGCAGCTTGTCAAACATGACCCAGCAAAATTCAATGAGAATGTCAGAATGGTGGTCTTCACTCCATTTGTTCATATTGCGAATACAACCATTCCGCTATTCGTGGGACCATGGACTGGCATGCTGCATTGTATAATGCCTTCTTATGACATCGAAACGGTATGTCGTATGATTCAAGATAATAAAGCCGATTCAGTTCAAGGTATGGGGCCGATTGTTGGGTCATTTGCAAACACGGATGTTTCCGAGCGATACGATCTCTCTTCCCTACGCTCTTTTGTGGGTGGTGTGGCGATCGCTGAGAGTGGATATAAAAAGTTGCTGTCGAAGGGAAACTGGAAGGGAGTTAAACTCTATGGAATGACCGAGGCGGCTCCTTATGTGGTGTTCCAGAAGCTCGACGAAATATTACCGTGGCGAAAGATAGGAGGGTTGCTGCCGGGTATCGAATGCGTGTTACGAATCGAGGATGGGACCAAAGATGCCCCAGAGGGAGGACCAGGAGAGATGTGGATTCGAGGGCCGAATGTAACCTCCGGATATGTTTTCAACGAGGAAGCTACTAAATCTGCTTTCAGGGAAGGCGGCTGGTACAACACGGGAGATGTCTGCACTTTCACGCCAGATGGATTGCTGGAGGTTGTAGGCCGAACAAAGGAGTTGATTAAGTACCAGGGATTCCAAGTGCCGCCAACAGAACTAGATGCATATGTCAAGGCTCACCCTGCGGTACTTGACGCAGCTTGTGCCGGCATCTGGGATGCGAAGCGGTTGACAGAGCTGCCAGCTGCATATGTTGTTCTACAGCCCGAAATCAAGACAACAGAGCAAAAGATACAGGCTTTGAAGGATGTCCGCCAAATGGTAGATTCGAAAGTTAGCGGGTACAAGAAGCTGAGAGGAGGTGTATGGGAAGTGTCCGAGGTCGCGAAAAATGCCACTGGGAAGATTGTCCGCAGGCAGCTGGGTGACCATAAGACCGGTATATCTGACCAAATCGGCAGTGCGAAGGACCAATCTAAGTTGTAAAAACTGTGCATTGCATCAAGGTAACTAAGAAGAGCAAGGATATTTTTTTTACCCCTTTAGGATTTTTGGTTAAACTCCAGCAGGTGAAATATTATCTGAATTAATCTATTAATCTATGTGCCGATATTTTCGTCCTTCAGTCCTTCTTCCAATCTTTCATCTGCTTCTTGTCCCTTTCAAGTTCTCTAAGCTGGAAACAAGAATTAGTTAGTCAGCACCCAGGTGGGAGGGACAATACAGAGTGATACAGAAATATATTTACTAGGGCGGTGTTTCACATGGCCCGTTGCTTGTTTTAGCTTAGCTCTCCACTCAAAGTGCACCATGGGCCCCACTTCAACAAGGATAATGCCAGACTGAGTTTATTTCAGTACGGTACAGTACCGGGGGGGGGGGGGGGGGGGGGGGTGCCCGGGGGGGGGGCTGCCCCAAAACCACAAAACAAAAACAAAAAAAAAAACCAAACAAAGAAAAAAAAGAAAAGACCCTTTGTCGG